TACTACATCACTTGATTATTTAGAGACTTCGAGTATTATCAGAATAATATAATGAAAAGTTGGTTAATTTTCATCACCCCAATAATTGAACCATTTCGAGGGACTACTCAACAACAGCAAATCCAGTTCCTCATCAGTTGGATCAGAAGATACCAATTGTCCAAGTCATCTAAATTTTTTGACATTTTACCGTTGGTTAAAAAATAAATAAAAATAAAAATAAAAAATAAAAAAGACGAGAGCGTTGGGTCGAGTTTGTCCCACTTTTAAAGGGTGGCGCAGAACAGAATGAAGACGAACCACTGCACGCAAGCAGTTGATGTATGGCAGCTCAGACAACTGACAACATGATGCCGATGAGATTGCGGATTCGAGGGCTCCACCCGGAGGAGAATGATGCCAACGAGATTGTATTAATATATCTCAGACAAGTTTGATCGACACGTTTCATTAGTTTGAATAATATTATTATAATTATTATTATTATTATTATTATTATTTATGTGGTATTGGGCTTGTCGTGTGTTTCATTATGGGGCAGTTGAATGATATTATGATTTGAACGAAGAAAAAGAAAACTGTTCTCTCTGTTCTTTTTGTTCTCTGCAAAAATACTATCACAGGTCCTTTCATGCTTCTGCTATATCATTTGGTATCAGTTAACCAGGAAGATTCTCGATACCGTCGAGACGACGAGATGCCGAAATTGACGATCGAACGAATGGATGATCGGATGCAATTGTTGGACACTCGGGTTACGGATCTTTCGACGGGGATTGAAGATATTCGCCTCATACTCGATACAATGGTGCGAGAGCAGCAGGAGAACCGTGATGTCGTCGGAGGCCGTGCCGGTCGCGGGGTCACAGAGGTGGCTGTGGCGGACGCGGGTTTGGCGGGGCGCCCCGACAACCACATCCACATCCTCAATTCGACGATGATAGTGATGCAACGTGGTCGGATATTAATCCCTTTGCTGAGGGCTTTGACCGCAACCGAGATGTTGATAACCGCCGGCCACATGAGGCAGGGTTCCGCGACCCCGAAATTGGGGATAACCGTCGGCCACCAGACGGTTTTCAGCCCTTCGGCAACCCCGACCATTGGCGAGCGGACCACAGGCAAGAAGCCCTAGATCGAGAGTTTCCCCGATTTGCCGACCGTGAGTTCCGACAAGGGGCTGCCGGCGTTGACGACGGTCGCGGATGGCAGCAACATGGTCGGTGCGGTGCCCTAGGTCGTGACGGTCTGAGAGGCGGTGATTTCGCGTTCCGGCGAGGGCCTTCCGGCAAGGATGATGTTCGCGGCGATAATTTCCAGCGGTGTGGGGGAAATCACCGTGAACACCTCGGCTGTGATTATCCGCGATTTGGGGTGGCGATGACGATCGTGATCGGCCACAACTAGGTCGCCGGGGACCTACCATGTTTGAGGATGACCGGGCCGACGGCGATTTGGACGGAGGCGGTGATTTTGGGGATTTTCGTGAATTTGGGGATTTTCCTGTGCGTGAGATTAGGGACGGTCATTTTCCTCCTGAAGGTGGGCGTGGCAGTTTTATTTTTCCTACTTATGGGCCAGTAGGTGTTTTTGGTGGGCCTGGGCATGAGGCCCATTTTCGCAGATTTGGGGCTGGGGTTGACGGAGTTGATCGCTGGGAAAATTCTTTTCGAGTTGACATTCCGGATTTTGCCAGTGGGTTAGACGCTAGTGAATTTCTTGATTGGTTGACTGCCGTCGAGGCTGCCCTCGATTTTAAAAGTGTACCGGACAACAAACGGGTTGCACTTGTAGTCACTCGACTTTGTGGCCGCGCGGCCGCTTGGTGGTTACAGTTACAAGGTGTGCGACATTGTCAAGGCAAACCGAAAATCACTTCGTAGGTGAAATTTCGTAAGTATCTTGAACGGAAATTTTTATCGTTTAATTTTGTTTGTACTTTATATCAGCGTTTACAAAATCTTCGACAAGGACAATGTAATGTGGATGATTATACTGAGGAATTCTATAAACTTCTTGCCCGGGTTAATATTTGTGAAACTCAGGAACAGTTAATTTCTCGTTATATTAGGGGTTTGCATGTCTCTATTTAAGATGTATTGAATATGTTTACTCCGGCTTCTGTTTCTGCGGCTCATCAGCGGGCTTTATTGGTTGAGCAGCAGCAAGCCCGAAAAGCGGGTGTTTCTTTTGCACCATCTGCAGAGGAGCCTTCTGGGACTTCGGGTACCGCACCGTCTGCGCCGAGTGTTTGGTTTGATTTGGGTGCTCCATCTGATGGTCGTGTGATTGTCCCCACGACGGGGAGTGGCACTCGGCAGTCTGGTGGGCCGCGTTGCTTCACATGTTGTGAGCCGGGGCATCGTCAGGCACAGTGCCCGAAAGCGAGAGGGTCATGAGCTTTGATTGTTGACGAGCCAGACTCGACTACTTACGATGGTCCTCCAATTTTCGATAAAGAGCCAGAGGTTCCCGAAGTTCATGTTTCGGGAGACGTGGGTCACGTGCTTATTCTTCGTCGTTCTCTTTTTTCTCCCCACATCTCTTCCGAGGATAAGGTCCAGCGACACCACCTTTTTGAATCCACATGCACTATTGGCGGTCGGGTGTGTCGTTTTGTCGTTGATTCCGGCTCCTGCGAGAATGTGATTTCGAACGAGGCCGTGTCGAAACTTGGTTTATTAACTGAGCCGCATCCGGATCCATATGCTCTTGTGTGGATACAGCATGATGATTCTGTTCGTGTCACTCGACGCGTGTTGGTGACCTTTTCTATCGGATCCTCTTATAAGGACATGACATGGTGTGACGTCGTGCCTATGGATTCTTGGCACATTTTATTAGGACGACCTTGGCAATTTGATCGCTCGGTGGTACATGATGGACGGTTCAACACATATAGTTTTTTATTTGAGGGCGTCCGCATAGTCCTGCATCCATCTTCATCCAGTTCTCGTCCTTTGCCATCGTCGTCTCTGGTTTTATTCGTTTCTCGTGTCAAGCAGTGTATGGAGTTATCCGGTTCGGAGGATGGTCGCTCGATGGTCTTTGACGGAAGTGATTTTGTCGACGGGGTTGTCCAGGACGCCGACGAGATTGCGGATTCGAGGGCGAATCCTCTCCACCCGGGGGAGAATGATGCCGACGAGATTGCATTAGCATATCTCGACAAGTTTGATCAACTCGTTTCATTAATTTGAATATTATTATTATTATTATTTATGTGGTATTGGCTTGTTGTGTTTGGGCTTTTAAATCTAGGTGGTTATGACTTTGTAATAGGATTAAAAACGTCTGTGTGTTTCATTATCGGGCAGTTGAATGATATTATGATTTGAACGAAGAAAAAGAAAACTGTTCTCTGTTCTTTTTGTTCTCTGCAAAAATACTATCACAGGTCCTTTCATGCTTCTGCTACATCACAACATAACAGAAAATAACCATGATACCATCAGGTCACAATCTCAATACATTAAACATATGTATATAGAACATGATAATATATCATCCAACAAGATATAGCCAAAAAAAATAAACAGAAGAAGGCCAAAATCAACAACAAGGTCTCAAGAGAACAAGAAGAAGTCAACAGTTCCAAAAAAATCCGATTACAAACAGATTTAAAAAAGCTTCCCCACAACCACAACATTAAGGGGTCCAATGATAAGTTCTATAACCCTCCAAACTATCCGGACTTTCTCCGAACAGATTCTAAACTGACTCTCTTTAAATCTGTACATATCTCTCTCTCAATGCAAACACACCTCTTTAGAAATACAATTTTTCTAAGATACTTATTTTAAAATTCCACGTTCTCCAACTTTTACTCCAAATTCCCATCATTCGCATCCAGGTTCAAATCGCAAATCTGGTTTCGAATCTTATCTTCCTTCACATCCATTTGCCTGCGAAGAAACTCATCCGGGGTGGCAGCCGGGTCGAGATCCCAACACCCCTCGGGCAATTTCGTCTTTTCAACCTCAAGTGGGAAAGATGGCACTTGGTGTGAAAAACGCAACATCTCCCTTCTCGGTACCCACCAAGCGGCACCTTCATCCCCATTCCTCCGGTAAACCGTCTTGAACCCTTCCAGCTTTATCACGGGCCTCACCCACACACCGTTTTCCTCCGAATACTCATCAACAACCTCCACAATCTCATACTGGTGCCTCAGCTCATCTGGTGTCGACCTGTTCCAATCGGGAGACCAGTTCTTATAAACCGCCCAAATATCCCCTTTTCTTGGGTATATCCTCACGCACCCTCCTCGCCCAGCTTTCTCACGGCTCAAAAGGTGAGAGAATATGTTGACCTGCTCCACCGTCTCCGAGTGGAACACCCTGAAATTCCCGCACGATTTGGTGAACCCGGAGTCCAACCAGTTGACCGGCCCGAACTCAGTGTCGGACCTCGAGCTCAGGTAGCTTATAAAAATCTTGAACGGGCTTAACGAGATGACATCACGGATTAGGCAGTATAGACGGGGCATGCCGTCTTCTTCATCATAGAGGGCCCATATCTGCTTGGGCTTGAAGCATTCTTCAGACCTGTCCATGTCGAAATCGCGGAAGTCCGAATCGGGAACTGTGATCGACATAGCAGCATTTCTTTTGACTTCCGGCTGTAGTTTGGAGCCAGCATTTGATTCGATCGCAAGTGCTTTTTTCCTCTCCGCCTCCTCAGCTTCCCGTGTCATCTCTTCAAGTTCCATACGGATAACGGATCTGCCTTTCGCAATCAACAGCTGCCGGACATCGACCACACGGGCAGCCGTGGCACGTCTCGCCTGATTCTCGGACTTTAGTGCTGTGCTCCCATTGGCTGCTGCTTTCAACTCAACTGCGTTTTTATTCGGGACAATCATTTCGGGCCCGGCGGTGAACGGGCCTCCAGGCTCTGATTTTATCTTCTTGGCGGGCCGTCCACGCTTTGGCCGTGGTATTTCGCCCTGGCTGGGGCTTGCATCAACCTTCTCAAGTTTTCCATTGGATATGGACTTGCTTCCCTCCTTGTTGGCTTGATAAAAGGAGAAAGATGAAGAGGAAAGTCCATTAGCATCCACAATCCCAGAGGGGTTACCCTGAAACGATATATTCGAGACGTACTCGTTTCTGTACCCGGTGTGATGCCCGGAAGCCCCATTTTGTCCACAGCGGCCCGTAGCTGTTGACGCATAAGTAAAACCAGAACCGTGACCTCCATAGCCATTCTCAGGTGCATACGAGTAATTGCCGTATGGGAAAACACCATCGTGCGGGCTCAGCCCAGTTTCCACTGCAACAAACACACCACGACAGTTTTTACAAGAGAGCCGCTTGTTGACGTATTTACGGAGGTACTCGTACTGAACGTGACAAGACGTGCACACGGTCCAGAATGTATCCAATCTCCCATGGGAAGATGAAAGCAGATTCCTTCTCTGATCATAAGAGCTCCTCCTGGTGTTATCTGACAGAAGGGTCCACGCATCGGAGACGAGCCGGAGGGCCCCATCGGCACCGACAGTCTTGTTCTTGTCGGGGTGGAGCAGCACGGCCAGCTTCTTGTACTGTCTCTTTATCTTGGACCGGTCCACGGACGGGTCCAGCCCTAGGATAGAGTAGAAATCAGGCTCGCCGTTGATTTTGGCCTCGGATGCCATGTAGACTCCGAATGTGGCCACCATTTGGGATATGCCTTCGAGTGCAGGGCAGAGCATCTGGGCTTTAAGGGCGAAATTTTGGGCTCCCGCAAAGTTTTTCTGCATGAACTGCTGCTCGGCAAATGCTTTGGCCCTAACCGCTTCCTCTATGTTGGATCCCATCTCGCTTTTCTTTTCTTTTCTCTTTTTTTTTTTATTAATTTTGAATTCTGAACCGACTCGAAATACTAAAATTTCAAGAAAAGCTTAAAAGCAGAATATGATGCTTGACGACAATCAAAATCCCACGCCTAACATAGCCACTAGTGCTCGCTGCAAGAGAAAACCAAATCATAAAACATTCTGCTTTCCCTCTGTGGATTAGGAAAACAACAATAGTAACAGCAATCAGCAAACGACTCAAGCGTAAACTGAAAAATATTCCCTGCCGCTAAAACAAAAGTTTCATAATCAATCCAGACTCATGAAATGTTGCTCATTCAGTTTCATACAAATTAGATTCTTCTCAAGTTCCGAAAAATAATAACAAGAAAAACAAAAATCTACAGTAGTACAGCGCATCAACTTCCTCAAACCAGAGGCAGGCACCACTCTAAGGTAGTAGGCATACATCATTTTCACAACACTGACCAGTCTAAGATGCTCAACCATAGTCAACCATTTTCAAGCTTAATTCAAACTACATTACAAACAAACTGATCACCCAGATTTCAGCATGAGGTCCCAAATCGACCAACGATTTAGCTAAAAAAGCTCAAAATCACTGAACAAGCGTCGAAATTTACAAAATTAACGAACTTGAAAAGGAAAAAAGTAGATTAGCAACCTCAACGAGATCCAGAAATAATTCACTCTCAGATTTGCAACAAAATTTCCTGATTTTTATAAGTCAGCATCAGATCTACACAAAAGGCGGTGAAGGGAAAGCGAATCTATCAACCTAAATCGAATAATACCATCAGCAAATTATCAAAAATAAAACATAAGCCGGTGAAAAAAGAAAGCTTACTTGATGCCAAGCATGAAGCAGGTACGAAGTGAGAATCGCCTGGGGATATTCCGGCGGCCGGCGGCGAAAGATTCCTTCAGAGATCGGAGTACCCAAAAAAAAAATTAATAAAAATAAAAAATAGAAAATTATACTGTGCAGAGATTATTTAGAGTAGAAGTACAACTACAAACTACGCAGCAGTTAAAAAAATTAAGATATATATGTATATATAAAATTTAAATTAAATTGAATTAATAAACTATTTGTAGTAATATTTAATTTGGTGAATATTGATTATCATTGTCATTTATTAATTAATATTCTATTATGGAGTGAGATTAACAGTTATTATTAGTGTTTTATATTTTATGGGCATCATTGGCCTGAGCCACCAAATTGTGTTGGAAAAAGGGATAATAACTTTAATATTTCTTGTGTATTTTCACTTGGGAAGTTGTAATGAATTCAAATATTAGGAGTAAATTCAAAAATTGTTTTATCTGATTTAAATATTATTGTAATATGTGATATGATAATTAAGAAATCGAGAAATAATAGTAATAATAATAAATAAATAATATTATTATTGAGGGATATAGCGATGATGGCTGCTTTTCCCAACTTGCAATTAAATTAAAATTGATAAAGTAAAAGATATGTCAGGTGCTCCACATAGCTTTTTCCTTGCCCAAAATAAAGAGAGGAGATTTAATTATCGAAACGCATATTTTTTATTGTTTCCTTTTCAATATTTGTATTATTTCTTTTTTATATATATAGTATGATATTAGGAGGATTTTTCACTTGGCTACTTTGCCGTGAAGTGAAGGAAGTTCTGCCTGCCAATTGCAATAATTTGGAAATTTTAAATTATGGGCCAAACATATTAACTGGAAGACGGTACTAACTAGGCTTTTATTAGTTAAGAATCAGAAAAAATATTGGGCCGAACAAAATCACTGTAACACTCGTCATATGAAAACTATAACAATTTGGACATTACAAAATGAGCAAATAAAATTTGTTTCCTTCTGTTAAATATGAGATGCGAGCAACTTCATATACAGCAATTTCGTATCTCAATTGTTTTTACATGATATGTAAACGTACCAAAATCTTAAACGCCTAAATTTTTTGATGCCACCATAATTAGACCATATATTTACTTTTAATTGCATTGCATTCAAGAATATATTTTTTCATGCTAGATTTAGGATCGATTTTTTTTTTTTATTCAATAAACTCAAAATCATTGTGATGCTCTTGTAACACAAATAAGTACTTTTGATAAACTCAAAAATAATCTTATAACACACAAATAAGTGGAATATGTGCCCAAATGTTGGATGAGAAAACTATTTCACCACTAAACATTAACATATATTTTTGTCCTTAATTGTGGAGAAAAAAAGGTATGAAACTTTTATGTAACACAGACTACAAAATGAAAGGAAAAAAAAAAAAAAACTTCCATAATGAATTCAAAAAATATATATATTTGGTATCCCCAAACACAATTCCAAAATCCAATAAAATAAAATAGAAATAATTAGGTAGGTAGTTTACAGCTGGTCCGCATGGGAATAACAGGCGGCGGCTAAGCGGCGAGCAGCAGCCTCTGGTAATAGTCTACGCAGAAGAGGGACAGCGAGAGCTCAGCCTCGTGTGGGGTCCACGCGGCGGTTCTCTCCCGCCGCCGCCGCCGCCGCCTGCTCATGAGCAGTGGCCTCACGCAAGCCGTGTAGAGGCGGCGGTATCCCCCGAGCGCGGCCACCAGCGCCCGCACCCCGTCGGGAGGCGGCGCCAGCTGGCGGAAGCAGAGGTACTCCCAGAGGGCTTCGCTCCGGGCAAGGCCCCGCCACAGGCGGCAGACGGCCGCCGCCGCCACCAGGGACCGGTCGTCCAGCCTCTTCAGGATCTCCGCCACTACGTCTTGGTTTTCGTTGATGCTCAACCCACGTTTCTCGCTTTTCTCCCCACACATTAATTCTCTAATATATATTCGTCAAATAATTAATACGACCTACTATTGAAAAGTAGAATGAGAATTGAAAATTAGTAAATGTGACTACCCACTATTTATACTCGCTCGATATCAGACCTCTCTCACACAAGCCTAATAGTTAGACATTCGATCCTGGTTTTAAATAGATATATATGCATGCTTTAAATTGAAATGTATACTCGAAAAACAAAATACAATATGATTATGAATTTTGTCAAATATATATATATAGGTGTTGGAATTCAAATAAAAACTAGTTCTAGTGTGACAATCGTGAGAATTGTATTTGGTGCTATTTTAATTGTGTATGATGTTATTTTTAAATTTTAATATTACATGGTGTTATCATTCTCACAAATGCTAATATAAATCGTGTTGTTATTTTTAATAAAATACATTCTAATTAAAAATAACTTTAAAACGCAATAAATCATAGCACTACACACTAATAAAATTAGTTGTTCTCACGGTTTCACGTTAAGACTTGATTTTCATTGAACCACATTATATATATATATATATATATATATANTACTGGGCCGTCACACACAAAAAAAATCATGCTTTAAAAATAGAATTTTGATTCTAGAGGATTTACTCTATATTGCAGTCACAGACTTTTTACCGTTGCATCAATACACATATAATGTGCGCTCATCCAATAGTTTTTACTAAAAACCTCGACCATTTGATTCTTGAGTGTGTGTCTGTGTGTGTGCATGCGTGTTTAGAGAGTTAGGGGTGTGCAGGTGGTATCGGAGGAAGAAGAGAAGAGGCCAAAATGGAAAGGGACAAAGGAATTACGAGAACACGAGACCATTGCGTTTGTGTGTGTGAAATTGAATGAATTCACTATTACTGTACTAAAAAAAATAAAATTGTAGAGGGCCGTTGGAGAAATATATTAAAAGTAGGATCAATTGTGCAAAAGTAAACGTTGCGTGAGTGTTTGTCTCTTTGTGCATGGAGACTATTAAAGTCTACATATGTTTTTGTTTTTGCATGCAAACATCTATCATTTTGTTTGTTTGTTGAATTTATGTTATTTTGTACACACATGTTTATACTCAATACTAGCCAGCTAGCTATAGGTTTTAATTCTTTGGTAAGCAGTACCATTAATTTAATTATAGTACATCACGAAATCCACAATAATGTGTTTATATATGATTATTTAGTTAAAATTAGTTAATTTATAGGATGAGTTTTGCTGATAAACTACCACATAAACCTAGATTCTGCCACATATGATCACTGTGTTTCACCAATCTGAACTAGCATATTGATCTTAGTGGTCAAGTGGAAAGACTATCATTTAATCAAAAAAATAAAATAAAACAAAGAAAAATGAACACAGATATATATATCTCTAACAAAAACTACTCACACATGTACAGTCACAAGACTCACAACTGTTTTCTATATTATGTTGGAACTTTGTTTCTTGGACATATACTTTACACACACACGCACAGACCCATATGTATGTGTGTGTGTTTTAACAGGCATAGATTATTTCTTTATATATTTTTGTGAATCTTGTGATTCTCGGTTGAGAGGGAAAATTGATGGCTGCATGCTTACAAGGGAAGGCCCCGCAAATTGAAAGCCTGCAATTAATAACCTTTTTTTTTTCAATTATTATGTGTACTTTGTTGTTGTTTTCGTGATTGGGGTAAAAAGTCAAACACACGAAATCGTGATTTTCACAAGGCCAATTATTGATTATGTTCTACCCATTTTTAGCTTGCACTGTTTTGCTAAGAAGTTATGTACGTGTGTGATTTGACATTTAACAAAAGGTCTTTTGTATTTTTTTTCACAAGGTCAATTTTCTGAATGTGGTTATTGGCTAACTGTTAGTAAACTATACTAGGAATACTCAGCTGTGCGATGCACAGCTGGCCCACGCAAATTTTATTAATTGAACAATATATCAATTTTGTAACTGTGTCAGTAAAACTTTGGCTTTTGCATTAGGGAGATTTTTTGTAACGATAAATGTGAAGATCCATCATACATTAACTCAGTAGATTATGAACAAAAAATACATAAAGGAAAGGAAGCTAAAGAAATTTGACTCTTTATGCAATACTTAAACATAACAGCCATGCAAAATAGAGTTCATATATAATTAAGCATAAGTAGTGTATATTTATGCAAACATTTTCTTCTGCAATTCACCCAAAAGCAACTTACAAAATAAAAGCATAAGCTTATGATACAAAAGTTAGATATTATTGCCCAACAAACAAGAAATGAATTCTTGTTTAATTGGCAATAATGCTGAATAGTCATTTTATATTTAACAATCCAAAATGCAACATTCATTTATCTGGTGAGTTCAAACATCTACTGAAGTTCAAAAGGCAACATCCAAAATAACCACAAGATTTGGTATTTAAACATCAAAAGTCGAACACCTTCAAAATGAACCATTAGTCTTGGTCTTTCATTTTCTTAGCTGGACTGGAGTGGTGTTGTTCAGTTGGGTTCGTTGCATCTTTACCAACAATCTTTCCCCTGGTGCTTTCTTCATTTGAAACAATTGACATGTCTGATTGTTTGGTTTGGGAAAGAGTGACTTGTTCTTCCTCCTGTGCTGTGAAAATTAATGGGCGTTTGGTTGAAGTTGATACGACTTTGGTGGTTGTTTTTGCTGTTGGTTTAGGAGTTGACAAGTTAATTGTTTCAAGCATAAGCTTTGCAGTTGGTGTAAATAAATGCTCATCCATGGAAGTTATTTTTTCCTGCATGATATGGTAAAATGTAGATGCACACTAAATTGTATGACAAAAGAATAGAGGTAAATATGTATAAATATAGAAAGGAATGAGAATGTACTTACCTTTCCTTTGATTGGGGTGCAAGATACAATTATCTTCTTGATTTCTTTTTCCGTGTATATTTTAACCACACTATACTTATCAGCAGTGATGTTGGAATAGGTTCCCTCATAATGTCGGACGAAACAAGTAATTGGGTTCTTGTAAAAGCCAGCAACAATCTCAGGTAATATATTTTTGTTCTGTTTAATATGTAATGTGTTTTGTTAAAAATGTCGAAAAAAAAATATGAAAATATGAACAAAGAGTGTTTTATGAGTGGAATGGGGAAGAATACCTCAGCCTCTGCTATGCTCATTTCTTCCCCTGTAAATGGTAATAGATGCTCTGCTTCTATGCCTGTGACCATAGCTTCAAGTACTCCAGTTTCATCTTTTATAGCGATAACAAAGCGACATCTGGATATTTGAGGATTTTTTGGCCTGTTATAATGATATAAAGAAAAAAATGGAGAGTGTTTGTAAAGCATTAGCTTACCTGGCAATAACCTTGCTATCCTCTCTGCACAATGTACAATTTATATCCCAGTTTATTGGTGCACTTATCTCTTTCTGGCAGTTGATACATGCAGTGAACCAAAGTGATTTTTGATCTATGGTGAGAGATGCAACACCACGAATCCATGCAGATTTGTTCTGAATTTAATAGACAAAGGCAAAAGGACGTTTCAGCTAATTTAGAGTTATTTAATTTAAGTCGAAGTATGTAGTAGAATAAATACTCACAAAAGGACGTCTTCAGTTAACCTAGAAGTTTTTAATTTAAGTTGAAGCATGTAGTAGAATAAATACTCACCACTTTTAAAGTGGCCAGTGCCTCTTGGATTGAGATAATATCTTTTTCACTTGGGGGTGGTAGAACAACCAAAGGATCTTTAAATGCCTCTTTTGTCACAAATGAGTGAAGGACATTTTTTTGGTCAACAGACCTGTAACAACGTTTAAGTTAATATTCAGCATATGATAATTTTTTTTTAAAAAAAAATTGAATATTATTTGTACCATTGCTTAAGTGTTGCAGCTTCCTTCATTGGTGGATTTATGAGAACAGCACTTGGTAATCTAGTAGTCAGAGAGAGGTCTGACAAATTTTTTAAATCGTTTGAGTTAATATGTTTTGAGAGAGAATGATCATCTGTTACTTTATATGTTAATGAATGAAATAAATATGAAAGTGAAAACTTAAGCAAGAAAACAAAGGAACTAACAATTGAAAGTAGTAACTCGAACTCTCATTGCGAGAATGATATTTCCATTAGCAACTGATGCAGCAAGTTGGGCACCCTCATTAGACTCAAACTCGTTCCACAAAGTTAAGATCATTGGAATTTTTCTGCAATTGACAATCAAGCATGTACGATAACATCGAAGCATTTGATTAAATTTAACATTTAATATAAATTTACTCACTCTTCATTTACAATCACCACGTCTCGAGTTTGAGATCCTTGAGTTTTCTTCACTGGAAAAACATGTATGACTATACCAAGAACATCTGCATTTGAATTCATAAAATGCATTCATATGTTAACAGATGGTTAACCTTTTTTGTAGCAACAATAATATGGTTGTTCTATGAAGTACATTGATATACAAATGATTTTTAAAAAATTATTAATAGTATACTTACTCTGTAGATTCTCTGTCTCAGCAAATCGGAAGAGGTTTTGGTACTTTTGAATATCAATGCGACAAGAAAACTGAGGAGGTACAGGCTCTTTAACTTCCTCGATTAAATGACGTTTTGTAATTGTCCAGCTAAATGGGTAATCGCCAACTAAATATTTAGGGTCTGCTTCTTTCACTTCAGCATTTGACACATAGTATCTCTTATAAAGTAGCAACTTGTTCTTCTCTTCCAATTCATAAATATCAGTACCATAAACAAGTGCAGTAACCTTTGTTCCCTAAATATGTATGAACAAAATAAGAATATATTAAATGTAAAGTTTGTTGCAACTGTAAGTTAAAATTTCGTTGCATGTAATGTGTTTATTTGTAGTTAAATAAAAAGAACATGGGTAAAACATTTGAATTGTTTTTTGGTGACTTATTTACATTGCACAAATACCTCTGTATCGGTAAGCTGAAATCTACGAAACTTGGTGTTCTTCGGTGGGCGGCCAGTCAACACTTTGGTTCTCTCCACCACCTGTATCAATGCTGTCCAGCCTCTGGTTTCCGTATTTATCTGTTGAATTTGAAGAAACTTTCTCGACATGATGGCCTGCAAACAATAAAGTCAGTTTAATAGATTAGCAAATTTGCTTTGTAAAGAATAAGTAACAAAATGGGAGAACAATCACATGCACATATTTAGCATTACTTTCAATAACTTTTGATTCCCGCAATACTTCTTTGTACACTATGTTTTTTGTTCGGTTGTTGCTAGCACCATCAAAAAAGGATGGTTTTATCAATAACTTTACATTTGATGATGTTCGAGCACGTGAAAGGGCAACATATAGCTGTCCATGAGAGAAAACGGGCTCTTTTAAGTAAATTCCCACAAAATCTAATGTTTGTCCTTGAGCTTTGTTGATAGTCATTGCAAACGACAACCGAACAGGAAATTGTGTTCTTGTGTAAGGAACTGGATATTGGTCATCTTTTGGTGGTTTAAGTGGTATTCTATGTATAAAAACTTGTTTTCCTTTAAAATCACCAACTGCTATCTCTGCATGTATTACATTTCTCGTGAGGTTTTTGCAAATTAATCTAGTCCCGTTACATAATCCTTCAGTTGGGTCCAAATTTCGAAGCAAAATTATTGGTGCATTTATTTTTAAAAGCAGTCTATGAGCTGGAAGGCCATTTGGGGTTAATGAATTTATTATATCTTCAAATTGACCTCTCTGAGAAGGATTAACAGCTTCATCAAAGCTTAGATATTCAAATAGCTCTCCAGGAAATCTATTTATTAGCAAATTGTTTATCTCATCAACAAAATTATTTTTGGTTGTCAAAATTGCTCTATTTGGGCTATATGATGCAAAATTATTAAGAGTAATATTGGGATAAACTATATTAATAAGGTCATCCAATTGAGATAATGGTTGATTGTCATTAAGTGTTAAAGAAATTGGTATTTGCATGACATCATTATCATCAACTGGCTCATCACCATCACCAACTCGAAGCAAAAATCTAGTGAACATAGGGTCTAAACGTGCACGCATGTTTTCTGTTAATTCAAGTTTCTCAAAATGTGGCCACAATTTGGATTTCACTAAGGAAGCCTCAATTGTCTCAATTCTATTTCCTTTGCGTACTACTGGCAAAATTTGTCTAAAATCACCTCCGAAAACAACTACTTTACCACCAAATAATTCATCTGAATCTAACATATCTTTTAACAATTTGTTTAATGATTCAATGGCAGTTTTCTTAGCCATAGGCGCTTCATCCCAAATTATTAATTTGCATTCTCTCAGTAAAATACCCAGACTGCTTTGTTTACTAACTTTACAGCCGTTTTGTTCTGAAAGTTCAATAGGAATTTTAAATCTGGAATGAGCTGTTCTACCACCAGGTAAAAGAGATGCAGCAATGCCTGACGTTGCGGTTGCTAGTGCCATAAAACCTTTTGATCTTACAGCTGCTAATAATGCTCTATATAAAAAAGATTTTCCCGTTCCACCAGGTCCATCAATGAAAAAAACTCCTGGTTTATTTTCAAAAATACGATTATGTATGATTTCAAAAGCTTGTCTTTGTTTTTTATTCAACATATTTATTGTATTAAGATCCTCTTGAGAAACGGTAATATTTTTTTCAGAAGTAAGCTCTCTTGTATCTCGACAATTTTCAAAAACTAAAAATTCTGGTGGCTCAAGACCAAAATCATTAATGTTCTTGCCCATAGCTGCTAAAAAATCAGCTATTTGGCGCAAAACCATTCTACGTATTTCAGTAGCGTTACCTGCCTTTGCTTTATAGAAATCTTCTGACATTTGTGATTCATACTTAAGCCATAGGTCTCTAGGATTACTTGGGCAACAAAATGCTAAGAGATTAGCAAAAAGTCTACGCAATTCATATGGCATTTTAAATTCAGATGCTTCTTTTAAACATAAATCTTGACTGTCATTCTCTTCTAAATAACCTCTCATCAATGCAGCTTCTCTAAAAGTGGTTGCGTGTTGACCTTTATATGTTTTTAAATCATTAAAGGACTTAGGACAACGCACATGTAACAAAAGAATTCTTAAATAGTATCTTTCTCCTTCAGATGGATGAGCTGTAACTATTCTACCTATAGTATCTCGTTGTTTCCTTCTTCTCCAATATTTCTCTGTTGACATCCAAACAAAATATTCCGGGAATTCAACGTAAGTTAGGTTTAACTTTTGTGCTTCCTCGTCAGTTCTATTCATAAAAAAAAATTCTGTTAACATTGTTTTATGCTTTTGAGGATTCTTTACTATATTTCTTAGCTTAACTTTCTTATTAAAATTAACAAAATGTTGATTTTCTAAATGAAGCTGCAAATTAATTACAGCTGGTTTTATTTCACCTATAGAAAAACCAAAAATTCTCCAAGCTGCTTCAGGTGGCGAAACCCAACGTGCCATTCTAAATTGTTCTATTTCATCAATCACATTTTCTGAATTAGTTGTATTTACATGAAAACCTATTCTATCATGTCCTTTACACACATATTTATATATATACTTCACAGCACGTATTGTAGAACAAATCTCAACATTTATATGGCAATTAAATTTGGCAATTAAATAAGGATTATAAGGAACAACCCATCTATTATCTAAATTGTGTCCTCTAACCTTAACTCTCCTGCCATTATCACGTCTTTGGTAAATTGGAAATGCGTTAGCCACCTGTTTTGTTCGCTCACAAAATTGTTTAGGATAAGAAAATCGACATTTTCCTTTATTTATCATGCATGGACATGTTTTATCCAATTCTCCACAAGGACCATGGATCATGTGTTTCTTAACAATGCTATATAAGTAAGGACTAACATTCTTGTCTGGTATCTCAGCACACACAATTTTATCATATTCTTCGGGCCTGTACATTTTAAATTCTGATTGCAAAATTAAAAGAAAATGAGCATGAGGCAAACCTCTTTTTTGAAATTCAATTACATATGTGTATGCGGCTACTTTACCAAAAATGTTTTTCTTTAGCAATTCATCTTTCAACATATCTAACTTCGCGTTAAATACTCTTGCAATTAAATCCGGCCTGTTTTGCACTTCTTCATTCTCAGTTAAAAGTTGTCTTATCTCTGGCCAATTTGGATTGCATGTAACAGTCAGAAATATATCAGGCTTCCCAAATTTTTGGACTAAAGTGAGTGCATCTATATATCTTTTTTTCATATATCTAGGTCCACCTATGAAGCTAGCTGGTAAATATACTCTTTGACCAATTTTTGAACCTTCAGTTTCTCCAGAAACTAATGCATCTTCTATACCTTGCATATATTCTTGTCTTATTTCTTCTTGTTGCAATCTATGAAAATCTAGTCTCTGTGATTCAAGTTTAACATACATATCAACAATGTATTGCTGAAGCAACCTACCAGACCTGAGCAAAATTGTCTCTAAGTCTCTCATTTGCAATTTATAAGCATAATATTCTCTAACTGAAACAAATTCATCCTCGTTGGAAGATGCACAAAGAGCTACCACACCCAATTCAAGAAAAAAATTAATTAGCATTTACCGAAAACATATAATGATCATATAATGTGACAGAAATGGGAACTTTAAACAAACAAAGCATATTTACTGACCTTCTTGCTCTTTACTTAGCAATTCGTCAACATTATCAACGCAGTCTGCTGAGATTGATTGATTGGTACAGAAAGAGTTAGTATAAAGATCACGATAACCTTTTCTAATTTTTTTAATACCCTGATGCCAACCGATTTCACCAAAAGGAAACAAAATAGGATATTGTAAAGGATCATAACATGCATAATAGTATTGAACAGCATGACAATAGCCTCCATGAGTATAGACTCTAATATCTCTATTGCTTGTTTCTCCATTTTCCTCACCTTCAACCCACAATGCGGCAACTTGAGAAACATCAGGTTTATTACACACTCTTTGATCAACTCCTGGCATACTTCTCAAAACTATATTATAGTTATCTAAATTTTCCATCTCACTTAGTCTGCGAAAAAATTTTGCATACGCATTATCTTTAAGTAAAGTGATTATTTTTTTAGATAAAGATTCTGTTAACCTTGGGCATTCCTCTAGACGCTTAGCAACTTGATCATCTGTATCATGAAAATAAAGTTGTAGATGTTTTGAGCTTTCTAAATCCTCTACAAAATGATACATCTGGCCTTGAATTTTAAATGTATAGATCCCTTTGTTACGTCTGCTCAATTTTTTATCATATTTGACACCCATTGATGTGAATGCAAAATGATTATTAATTGTTCGTATGCATGTTCTAAATAATTTGGCCTCCTCTGTATTTGAATCAAACAACTCTTTCAAAATATCAGGTGCAGGAGTATCAGGAAGAGAAATTGTACCATTTCTGCAACATATATTTAGAGATTCATGGTAAATTTTTTTTGCACGACAATATATGCAAGGTGGCTGAGCAGGCAGAAGAGTAGGCTCTAATGGTACTTTTTCTAGTAAACTACGACCATCTTTGAAGTTTTGGGGTTGGGATGTGGTTTTAATTATTCTGTTAGAGGAAGATGCATCATTTGACTTACGTCTTTTGACATGAGTAGGAGTTGTATCCACATGATTAACTATATAGGAATCTCTATAAGTTGTACTACGTTTTTTCCTCCAACGGTTAATAGCCTCTGCTTTATAGCTCTTTTTTAATACACTACTCTCCATTATTCAAAATAATGATACCAGAAAAAGTGCGCACAAAATAATTTGGCGAACACTGCAATAATCACCTGCAAATGAAAGCGTTCAAATGTTCATGCAGATAAGATATATGAAAACAAACAGCAAGAAGAAAAGTGACTCTACATAAAGGTAACCCTCACACCTAACTTATTGACGAAGACTAAAAAACAATAAGACGAAACATCAACAGAGCAGAACTATTCTAGTACATGAAATGGAAAAATAGATACCAATTTGTATAATTCTGAGAAACCAAAGCAGATTACCTGAGGTAGTACCGAAAGCCTTAATTAGAATGTAGACACAAGCTGCACGTAGCAAGAAAACCATCAGNATTGTACTACTAAGTTTAATCAAATAAGAAAGGTTGAACACATTTTTTCGCCAGCATCAAGAAAATTTAAAAACTATTCTAACCCTACTAAACTGATTGAAGAAAAAAAAAATCAGAAGAAGAAGAAGAAATAGAAGCACTTACAGCTTCAGTAATTAGTAAAGGATTTCTGCAGATCTGATGAACCAAAGCAAATTACTTGAAGTAGCACCGAAAGTCGTAATTAGGAATTGAACACACACTGCACACTGCAACAAAAACATCATAATAGTTATACCATATAAATAAGGCATATGAAAAGAACTATCAATATAAGAATGCCGGAAAAATTACAAAAAATCACTTCAGACAAAAAACAACTTACTCCTAATCTATTGATGAAGACTAAGAACCAAGAAGATGAAGCATTAACAAGGCACAGCTACCTATTCTAGTACAGAGGAAATGGAAAAGTAGATACAAAAGTCACTCGAGGTAGCATTGAAAGCTTTAATTAGGAAACTCAACACACAATGCACACAACAACAAAAATATCATAATAGTGATACCTAAAACACAAACATAAACAAGAAGCCTCATAAACTTTGTAACAACCAATAAAAGGTAATAAAATTATTTATTGTTTCACATAAATTCTCATGGTAGCAAAAATGTTGATGAAACATAAAGTAACTGAGAAAAAAAAATACTACAGGACAGTAAAAAAAAAAATAAAAAATAAAAAAAAAATGATGTAAGTGAAGGTGCAACCTATAAAACAAAGAATATATAAAGTGTCATTTTGTAAAAAATAATGTAAGTAGAAGCCATGGTAATATTCAATCAAAATTAGAGCTTGTAAGAGCACAGAAGAACCCCCATAATACTAACACCAAATAGAACATTCATTGGATTGATAAAGGGGAAAAAAATGAAAGTTATAATGAAGAAATGAAATACTAAAGCAAACAAAAAGAAAATCACAGTTTTTAACTAAAATGCAGCCATATCAAGCAAATACAAAGAAACAAAAATAGGTAAGAAAGAAAAAACAACAGACATACACAATGCACCTACACGCAGCAACCAAATTTGGAAGAAACTTACCCACACAATAACATAAGAAGTAGGGAGGAAGAATGTTCTAGTTTTAGTTAATATATTGTTAATATATATTGCAAGATAATATAGTCAGACATGATCCCTATGCAGATCAATGGCTCCAAATATTCCACTCAAATGGCAAGTCAGACAAGTAATGCTACATGAATTAACAATTCTGAACCAACAAAATATATGCATGACTCAACTTACATCTCCGAAAATTTGCACTTTTAATTTAATTTTCTATAGCATATTGACCTTATAGCAGCTATACAAAATAATATAATATTTTTCTTTGAAAAAAAATCACAATAGCCCATACACACATACAATTAACTGGGACTCTAAGAAATAGTAATAATTCACAATAATTACACTATACATGTAGGTTTCTAAAACCCCAAATAATAAATAAAAATGAACAAATCTCTCTCACTCTCTTGTCTACTGTAAAGCAAGAATTTAAAAATAAAGAAATAAAATAATTTGACCCAACTTTTTGAATGAAACACTATATATATATCATCAATATCAAACATCATAAGAATTGAAATGAACAATATAAACCATAAAAAATCAAGGATTAAATAGCAGGAAAAAAAAAAAAATCCTTGGCCCTTTGAAACCCAAATACGGTTCGATCCATAAAATCATTGGGAGAGAGAGCACAAGGCCAAGCAAATTGGTTATTTATTAAAATTGAAATCACATATATAATAGAACAAATAATTGAAGAAAATTGAGGCATATGTGGCGCAAGAATTCCTCCCTAAAAAACAAAAGGTTCGGATGGGAATAAAAAATAGAATGACATAAAAAAAAAAATACTTTTTATTTTACTAATAAAAAACAACACGTCTCAAATCACATTAATGGGCCTGAAGTATAAATAAAATAGAGGGACATTTATGGGCCTGAAGTGTAAATAAAATAGAGGTAAGAGTGGAAGCCCAATATAAATGTAAGCCACCTGAAATAATATAAATAAATAAAATATAAGAGTGGAGAAGCCCAATATAAATGTTAGCCACGTGTCAAGCTGTGAAGAAAACAAACTCCCGCTTATATATATGTAGATGTAGAGGGATATATAGTTTTATACAAAAAAATACTCATTTATTATAATGCAAAATATCGTACGTTTTCTTATATAGCATTTCAAAGTGATGTTTGAGAGTGAAAATATGTACATATGTTGAAATAGTACTATGATTGTATATTACCACAAGATAATAAAAGATTACACTCACTATTTTATTTTTTATGTTTGGAAATTATAGGAAAATGCTACAGTCTCGTTACGGAACCATTCCGTTGGGATTTGTAACTATTGGATGCATATGTAGATTGGTGTAGCATGTGCATCTAACGCTAAAAATTCAAATGAAAATGATTCTGTAACGGGATTGTAGTCTTAACCGAAGTTATAATTGAACTTGGTTGACTCCTCCTTTAACTTCTTATATATTAATTGGAGTTCGTTGGACTTCTATAAAATGATGCATAACACATACTAATAAGTAGTAAATTAATGTGATAAGAAGAAAAGTCAATGAGAACAACACATGTAGCAATAAGTTATAGTCTTGGTTTGTATACTTAAATATTTCTTTCCTTATATGTGTGTTTTTATTCATCAATGACACATTTGAAATCCCATTTAGCATCTGATCAGATGGTGAAAAACAAGTGGCTAAGGGGTAGTAAAAAACTAGTTATTTTGTAACTATAGTTAAGTTTGGAAAAAGGTGGTATGGTTAGTTGTTAGTGGATATATTAAAATAATATTTAAAATAAAATAATTAAAGTTGATTTGATGTAAAAGTAGGAGAAAATGATTGGAAGTGATAGTTAGTTAAAATTATGTGAGTAGATGAATAGTGAATTAAAGTTGATGTGATGTGTAAGAATGATTGGTTGATATTATTTAATTATATTGATAATATTGAAGATAGTGGAGTTGAGTTAAAGTTGAATTAAATTTGAGTTTTGATTGGTTTTTTTACTGTACAATTTGTATCCAATCACCCCAAAGCGTTGGCCAAGAATAAACAAGAAATAAAGAAACAAGAGATAAAAGGTAAAAGCAAAAGGACTTTGGAAAAGAAACAAATCCACTTGCTGGTAGACTTACCAAATCCCCAGGCATATTGATTAAATTTTTTATTTTATTTTATTTTATTTCACAATTTTTTTATTTATTTTTAGTATTCATTGATTGTGCAAAAGAAAATGGAGTTCTTGAATTTATTTACAATGGAAAAGTATGAGTCGTTGATCATCAAATTGATCTTCCTAATCTGCATATACAATACAGCCAAGAAGGTACGTTTGATGTGTCCTAATCAGCACAGACATTGGCATCTCACTCTTACCATTTCGTGATGTAAATATACTTAAACAGAAGATATTGAAAACCCACAAAATAGAGTTTTGCTAATAGATTTTTTTGATACTAATCCCACTATTTATTTCTAAAATAAATAATTTTGACCTTATTGGCTTATTTAAGAGAACAGCTAACGTTTTTGCAAATCAGAGATCAAAGTGAATTTAAAATCTGAAGGTAAGTGTTCTTGGCTTAACATAATTTATTAGTTCAAAACTTAATGGCTCTTGCATGATAATATGCACAAAAGAGAAACCTTACAACTTAAATCAGCTATGGCCTTTTTACCAGTTTGAAAGCTATAAGCCCTCAATCAATCAAGAAACAATTGACAAATTACCCTAGGCCTATATAGTATGTATATATAGACTACTCAAGAATTTAACAGCACAAATTCTGGTTTGTTAGTCCGAGAGATCTCCCCACCGAACGTTATGCTTGGCAGCGAGATAGTGGGCCCCGACAGGTCCTCTACTCCCGTACGGATATAACTCGGGTGCAATTTTTCTGTCTTCCAATTCCTTAAGCAATGGTGTGAATAAGGCCCACGCAGCATCCAGTTCGTCACTTCGGATGAATAATCTCCGTTCTCCTTCAATCGCGTCTAGAACAAGTCTTTCATATGCGTCCGGTATTTCCCTTGGGTACCTTTAAGAGATTATTGCAATAATCACATATTAAAGTTCCTCAAGAATCATCATCATAAATCTCTGTAATTAAGCAAATATCCATTTGAGCTTAGAGAGGTTTAACTGATAAAAAAATGTAATTATGAAAACTATCCCTAGCTAGTATTTTGCCTACTTGCAATATAGACAACAATATAATGACCCAGTTATATTCAAAAATTAAACATAACATCCCAATCGACAAATATTTTTATATATCTTCCAAACAAAGTGTACCCTCAAAGTCTATATAGCAGGGTGCAAGTGGTAGCTATAGGTTCACTAAATATAATGAGCCATTAATGAAAATGATAAATTTGAAATAAATCAGCTAGCATGTAAACTGAAAGTTAATTCAGTCTTGAACGAACCATTTTACCTGGCTTTGTAAAGCAAGTTAAGGTCACTTCGGTCGAGTCTCATTCCAAGACCAGGAACCTTGTTGTTAATTTTTAAGTATACGGCTTCATCTGGCTGTACACGAAGAACTAGCTCGTTTGTGGCTTTATCCAAATCTGTCCCGAAGTTTCGCTTGTACAGATTACCCGGAACATGTCTGAACTGAACTCTAATTTCCGCCCTGAGTTTTTACACTAGAACGGTCATCATATGAAAGAATAACGAGAAAATCTAAAAGTTTGAAAGAATAATTGTCATTGTCATAATTACTCAGAGATATTTCAATGATCAAATTTCAGGTTTGAGAGAAACACAGAGCTGGACTTCTTTAGACTTCTGATCAGACAGGCGGGATAGTTCGTTCGTGCCCCTCTTGTTATAGTAGAATCGAATGGCAAAATGTAGATAAGTAAAACAATGAACAAACACAAAGTCAACTATCATCCACTTTTTACTTCAGTAAATCACTTCATAAAAAATGTATTTACCGTTTGGTGTGCAGAGCTTTTCCGGCTTTCATGAGAAAAGGCACCCCATCCCAACGGGCATTATTAATAAAAAGAGCTGCAGCTGCAAATGTTGGAGTTATGCTGTTGCTAGGCACCGTTGGATCATCTGTGTAGCCCAAGTACGATTTTCCAACCTTGCTGTGGCCCTTATACTGCCCTACTATCACATCCTCAAGCCTCAATGGCCTCATTGACCGCAAGACTTTGACCTGATTTGAGTTTTTATAAGAGCATCTCCAATGCTCAACTTTCAACATTAATTAAATTTGAACACATGTCAATCAATGGATTAATGTTTAATCTACATGAACTGAATGTTAAAAGAATAAGACTTTCATTTGAATTGTTGCCTCCAATGCATCCATTCAACAACCATACAATTTGTATATGTGGATTTATTCAATTATTAATAAAATCAAAGAGTATATTAGGAAAAAACCACAAATTCCAATAATTATATGCATGATGTTATTTTTTTTGTTGATTCAGTTAATTTTTATTTATATCATCAAATTTATAAAATTATTATTTATTCAATAATTTCTCAGTTACAATATGTATAACCACACAATAAATATTTTTTTAATTGGTTCAAAATAAAACAACAAAATATTAAAATTGCAATAACTCAACAAACAAATATCATGAACATAATTTTTACTTTTAAGGACATTATTATTGATAAATTTTTTAAATTTTAGTTGTAACTCATCAAATAATTATACTGTATTCAAATAAATTCTCAAACGTTTTATTGGATAAATGTAAGGGTGGGATTTTTCCAAGTTTATAAAAACCTCAAAATTTGTGTCAAATAATTATCGAAATGATGAGTCATCATGTTAGAAAGAATGTGAGAAATTAGAAAGTGAGTTTGACAATGTTAACATTAATTTTTTACACATAAGCATGAAAGGGCCCATAATCTAATGCATTGGAGGATATAGTATTCACACACTATTTATTTATTAGATGGATTCAAGTGCTTTGATATTTTTATGGTTTATCTTTAAGATATTGGAGTATTTTATGGACGACGAGATGTTGAAGGAAGATTGAAGCAGGCAGTACGGGGGAGCCTCATACTCGACCGAGGAGCCCCATACTCGGTCAACATAGGCCACATATATTGGGCCTAAGTCGTATTTTAATAGGGCCCACTTGGAGGATTACTTCAATTAAATGACAGCAGGTTTATGTTGGGATTAAAATAAGGGCCATGTGAATGAAAATAATATGCCCATCAATTTGGCCCAAATAAGTCTTAAAGATGAGGCATCAGATGTGAAGGCACGCAGTCATAGGGCAGTAAAGGGACAACCAATATTTTATTTAATTGGAGACATTCACGCAGCCCCTATTATTCACGAAAACAGAAATAGAGGAAAGAAAAAGACAGAGCCTCCATATTCACGCAGAATTATTGGCGAAAAAAAAAAAGGTGGACAGAAGGGAACCCGATCAATTGCGGAGGGAGGCCGCACGCGTACACGAGGGAGATAATTAATCTCTCTCTTTTATTTATTATTTCTTTTTATTAGTATGTTAGAGTAGATTTTTATTTCTAGTTCCGGGGAAGTCGAACCCTACGCACTATGATGTTTGATTAATTTACGTGGTTGATAATTCAATATCTTTTTGGAATTGCTTGTGTTATTTTGAATAATTCACCATGATGTGTTAGTCTTGTTTAGATTGATCACCTAGATTAGGCTTTTCATATCTACATCTGAGTTAGACCTGCAATCCGTAATTGTTGTTGTGTTTAATTCATAAGAGGTAACCGGAAGATGGTAACTACCGGGGATAACACGGCCTATTTAAGTGAGCGAACGCGGTTGAGTTCACTACTTAGTCTAGCCTATTTTTCTAATTCGTAAAGCGGCTAATTGTATTAAATCTTGAAAAGGACTGTACAAGGAGTCAGGTTTAATAGTAGAGCGTCTCGCGGTTAAATTAAAATTAAGGAAAAATTCGGGTAACAGACCGTGTCGTTGCCTAGGGCTAGTAATTTCATAAGATAGCGAGATTTGATTCTAAAATTGATTAGACGAGTCGGTCGAGGGTGTAGACGGAACCGTGAACTAGAAGCTTTCTCTTATTTTATTTTATTTTTATTTTCTTATTTATATTTCATTCTTAGATAGATTAGATTTATAATTCAAACCCCCCCATTTATTGTTTATCATAATTTCAATTAATACAAGAATTTCACAATTTGATTCACACTCCTCGTGGGATCGACCCTTACTTGCGGCTACTACTAGTTGGTAGAGGTTAGTTGAGGAAAAATATAAATTATAATTTTGCCGCGTTGCGACGCGCGGTCATTGACGAATGTTTGTTTCGGTCGGATTGATTTTCTTCAGTATATTATTAGTCTTTTGGGAGGAATGAGAATTGCTTATTTGTATCATTTTGTTTGTGTTCAGTTGATTTTTTGAGTCTATACTTTGTAGTTTTTTCTTGTTTTTATTGTTCAATGAAAATTGTATGGTTTATTTCCAGTATATTTTTAGTCATGTTTCACTGTTTTCCAATTTTTTTTTTCATGACATTAATAGGAAGACGTTCGATAATATGTAATAGTTAAAAATTTTCGGTATATTATCAATATCTTTTCGGTATATTTTCTCATGGCATTAACAGGAAGACGTTCGACGGTATATTATCAGTATATTCTCGGTATATTTTCTCATGACATTAACAGGAAGACGTTCGACGGGTATATGTACAGTATATTTGCAGTATATGTTAAAGCAATATATATAGGCGATGAAGATTTCGTAAAATTTCGTACTCTTTGCTCGATTTCCTGAAATTACGCGCTAGGAACATGGAAGGTTGTTCCACTTACCTTGTAACTGATTTTAGGCATGATTATAATTAATATTTATCTTTTAGGTATATACACAATTTAATTGGTATGGATGGTAATATTGCAATTATCTAAAAATCAACATGAAAATTTCCCAAAATTAATCTACATATTGGTTCAAGCCCATTAGCTTGAAGTGAATGTGGCCCACTAAAACATTAATCTTGAGGGGTCTTTGGTTTTCATTTCCTTTCGGGAAATTTTCACCTATGCTATCCGTTTATAAAATAATTGCTGCTTTACCACTCAATCTAATTTAATTGCGTATATGCCTAATTGATAAGATTTATTTGCATTCATGCCTAATGTCAGTTACAATTCTCTCTCAACCCTATCCCCTGTTTTTTTGCGCAAGATTTGCAGATTGATGATGGAAAGAATCCAATTTGTTACAGATAGGCCACTTCCATTCCATATTTATAGGACATGATTTGTGGGTAGTTAGAAAAAAAGAAGAAGAAATTGTCGTTGATTTTTTTTCTGTTTTCATTAATACACACACAACCAAAAGAAAGAAAAAAAAGACGAACACAGAGGGCGTTGACCTCTTTTTTTTTCAAGCAATAACAATTCAGGGACATATACTACAAAAAAAAAGAAAAAAAAAAACAACAAAAGGGGGTCGATAGGATTTTTCAGCTATAACACTTCACGCAACATACACCTCAAGAAAAAAAAAAA